AGGCTATAAATAGGCCTTCACTTCTCCATTGCAAACCATCCCTCAATTCTCATTCTCTCTTCTCTTATACTCTCTTCTTCTCCTCTTCTTCTCTTTGAAGACCTAGAGGAATCCATAGGAGGTGGTTCTACCCTAGTAGAAGGAGCCTAGAGGAGGAAGCTCTTCTTTAGTTTCAACGCCTGTTATCCAGGTAAGGGGGGAGTGAGAAACCTCGCTCTGGGTGTGGGATTGTATGCTGGGTAGTGGGATTGACCCCCAATCCTGTATTTGTTGTATGTCATATTGTTTGTATGTTCCAATTGCTTGGTTAATATGTGTGTATGAATAAAAATTTTTTATATATGATCTAAGAGTAAATAACTTTCAATTTAACAGTTGAATTTACAAAATTCACAATTAATATAAAATTATCACTAGTGAAAAAAAAAAATTAAAATCGGTTCTCTAACCGATTTTAAAAGTTAACTTTTAAGATCAGTTGTTTTATAACCGATCTTAAAAGTCCTGGCTCCGCAAAAAAATAAAACTGGAACGGGTCGTTCTAGCATAGTTGGTCATGAGTTAAAACCTATCCAGAACAGGCCGTTTTCCTTGCAGAACAACACGTTCTTCTTACAGAACGAGTCGTTCTCCTTACAGAACCCTATATTCAAAATTTACCTGAATAAACCAACAACGTAACTAGAGACACGAGAAGAGCATGAGAATGTTACCTTAATATAGTAATCTTACAAAGAAAATGAGAAGTTGGAGACTTTAGATGAGAGCATGAGAAAGTAAAAAAAGGAGTGGAGGGAAAGATCAAAGAGAATGAGAATGAAGGGAAAGATAAAAGGTTTCTGACGATACTTTTAAAATCGATTATTTATGAACTGATTTTGTATACTACATACAAAATCGGATCTTAAATAATCGATTTTAAAAATAACACTTTTAAAATCGGTTCTTAAATAACCGATTTTAAAAGTAACACTTTTAAAATCGATCATAAAATAACCGATCTCAAAAGTACTTTTAAGATCGGTTAAAATGTAACCGATCTTAAAAGTTTTCATATTATTTAAAAAATTGCCACCGCGTCACTTTTAAGATTGGTTACCTTTTAATCGATCTTAAAACTCCGATTTTAAATTCAATTTTTGCACTAGTGTATTGAGCGGTGTAACTCATAGTAAAAGTTACACCGGTGTAACTTTTACCAAGTATTACACCGCTCAATAACTTTATATTAAATGTGAATTTTGTAAATCCAACCGTTAGATTGAAAGTTCATATCACTTTATATGTGTATATCAAATTTTGTTAAAGTTGAACAACAATTTGAAGGTGAGCAAAGTGTTCATATTTTAGTATATTTTGAAATGAATATATTACGTCAATTTTATTTTTATAAAACTGAAATATCAAATCATCTTGGATTAATATAAAATTTTGTATATATGATCTAAGAAATATGAACTTTCAATTTAACGGTTGAATTTACAAAATTCGCATTTAATATAAAGTTATTGAGTGGTGTAACACTTAGTAAAAGTTACATTAGTTGACACAATATTCTAGTTGTTTTGGTTTCATTAAGCACAATATTAAGGGCAAGAGTTGTGGAGCTCCCAATAATATGGCTAGTAGTGATACTCTTACGTTGTGTTTGGATGAGAAATTTGAAAATTTTAAAGAATTTAAAATTCTTAACATTTAAATTACTTTGATTTTAATTTCTAGATAAGTCAATTTTAAATTTTTAAAATTTTACATTTTTAGTTTGGATATGATAATTTGATTGTATTATGATAAAATGGATTTTAAAAATATATTCATATGTTGAGATTTTTAAATTAAATTTTATAAAAAAAATATTAGCCAATTTTAAAATATTTAATAATTTTTAAAATTAATATTAGATAATATTCAATAATTTTAAAAGTATTTTTAAATATTCAATAATTAAAAGGATGAAGAGATAAGAAGTAAGATAAAATATATAAATGAAATAAGAAAAATAAACACGAGGAATTTCAAATTCTTACTTTTTTGGAAGAATTTGAAATTCTACTATTTTAAAGAATTTCACACATACTTGAATTTCAAATTCTTTGTAAATTCTCTATCCAAACAAAGTATTTCAGTTCAAGGAAATTGAAATTCTTTAAATAAATGAATTACTCTATTTAAATTTTCCATCCAAACACACTATTAAAGAATAGTAGTGGTGTTTTTGTGGGAGGCTTTATCTCTAGGTGAAAACAACTTGATAGGCAAATCGCAATGCGTTAATGATTGTAATTGCTTATTTAGATGGTTGACATCATCTTTGATTGAAAAGTGATTCAACATTTGCTTTGAAAGCTTTTTCCAATGTTAGTTAATAACTTGGTCCTATAGATCATTGTAGTATATGAAAATATTGTTTAGTTCTTTGTATACAAATGTATCTAGTCTTTACTCATATTTATAGAGAAGACAATACAAGTTAATTAATTTTGATCTTATTTCTAAATGTTCTTTTCTATAGTGGGATGTTATTATGTCCTCTTTTATTAGGAGCCTCTCTTTTTTCTCGTAAGCGTAATGGTTTGTCATTGTTTGGATTTTATTGATCTATACATGGATTTTGATCTATATTCCTCTATATTTTTTGTTCATCTTTTC